AAGTGTTTTACGAACTAGTTATTCTGATGTTGAACCAATGTTGTGATTATATGGTTTCCATTTTTGATCCAAGATGAAGTTTGTCTTCTTCAACTTCAAGATTATAAGTTGAGATATGATGAAGATCTCTTTCCGCAGAAGGAGAGCTGAAATTTTAACAACAAGAAACTAGTGGAGGCAACTAAGGTTGAATGACAGGTTGTTTTTAAGCATCTTGGCATGATATGATCCAAGTTGCCTTGTTCAAGAACCATTTAAATGTGGGGACATGAAAGGAATTGAGATAAATTCTCCTTATGATGTGTTTCAAAAGTCAAATCAGAACAGACTCTACTCCCCTAATTAATTCCCGCTGAGTTAGACATCTCTACATCTACACTCTTCAAAGATGATATATTCTCTTTTTAAAGATGATAGATTATCTTTTCAAAGATGAAAGCTTTATTGGATTTCTACACAAGTCCAAGCAAAGAATGTTGGTTTTATCCAAGATAAAATGGGGCATCATGGTCATAATTTTGACTACAGCAAGAGTTCCACAAATGAAACATTTCTTCTGAAACTTTCATGAAACAAAGAAGACGCCAAGATACAAGTTGATCAGATGATTCTGTAGAAATGCAAGCTTGACAGCATAAGTTTCTACACTGATATCCAGAGGTAACCATGGCAATAAATGATGAATTGAATGAAGACCAAGTTCACCACTTTGAAGTCAAATGAAGACTGCATCAACATTCATGCATTCATAAAAATATCATTTACACAATAGACAATGCATTACATTGATACATCTGAGTGCATTCAAACATGAAGTTTTACAGATCTTCGGAAGAACAAGAAGATTCAGGTAAAAAATACCTTACACGAAGAAGGTATTCAAAACCACAAATATAAGAATCATGCAAACATCTGAAGAAGAGATGGACGCAATCCACAAAAATGAGCATTATCTTGAGATTGGGGCATGTTACCCAATCAACATGTTATTTTGAAAAAAATAAGAAAACGATTTCCATAGTTTCTCATTCAATCTTTTCTAAAAATGAAATTGTTGAAAAGTAAGAAAACGATTTCCTTAATTTTTTTACTTAGTAAACTATTTCCCACATCTGTAAGTCCTTTAGTGCATGATGTTTCCAAAAAGCCTTCGGGATCTTTTTGATGTTTTCAAAGCCTTAGGGTCATCTGTAAGTCCTTCAGTGCATGATGTTTCCAAAAAGCCTTCGGGATCTTTTTGATGTTTTCAAAGCCTTAGGGTCATCTGTAAGTCCTTCAGTGCATGATGTTCCCAAAAAGCTTTCGGGAGCTTTTTGATGTTTTCAAAGCCTTAGGGCCTCTGTAAGTCCTTCAGTGCATGATGTTTCCAAAAAGCCTTCGAGATCTTTTTGATGTTTTCAAAGCCTTAGGGTCATCTGTAAGTCCTTCAGTGCATGATGTTTCCAAAAAGCCTTCGGGAGCTTTTTGATGTTTTCAAAGTCTTAGGGTCATCTGTAAGTCCTTCAGTGCATAATGTTTCCAAAAAGCCTTCGGGATCTTTTTGATGTTTTCAAAGCCTTAGGGTCATCTATAAGTCCTTCAGTGCATGATGTTTCCAAAAAGCCTTCGGGAGCTTTTTAATGTTTTCAAAGCCTTAGGGTCATCTGTAAGTCCTTCAGTGCATGATGTTTCCAAAAAGCCTTCGGGAGCTTTTTGATGTTTTCAAAGCCTTAGGGTCATCTGTAAGTCCTTTAGTGCATGATGTTTCCAAAAAGCCTTCGGGATCTTTTTGATGTTTTCAAAGCCTTAGGGTCATCTGTAAGTCCTTCAGTGCATGATGTTTCCAAAAAGCCTTCGGGAGCTTTTTGATGTTTTCAAACCCTCAGGGTCATCTGTAAGTCCTGCAGTGCATGATGTTTCCAAAAAGCCTTCGGAAGCTTTTTGATGTTTTCAAACCCTCAGGGTCATCTGTAAGTTCTGCAGTGCATGATGTTTCCAAAAAGCCTTCGGGAGCTTTTTGATGTTTTCAAACCCTCAGGGTCATTCATAAGATCTCTGGGCAGAATGTTTTCAACATATTCATCCTACTCAAAATAAGCTAAATGAAAAATTATTGTATTTTTCGTCTTTGCTCTATTCTTGTTAACACAAGAATGAGCAAAGAGGGGCAGCCGTAGACACTAATTTTTCATTTTACTTTTATTATTTTATTATTATTATTATTATTATTATTATTATTATTATTATTATTATAAATATTATTATTGTTATTATTATTATTAAATAAAATAAATATTACAAATTACAATTAGACCCAAAAGGTCCAGATACAAATCTCTGAGCCCATTTTACAAACCCGAAGCTCAATAGCCCGAAGCCCAGATGGCCCAACAGTGACCCAAACTTGGTGGCCCAGATCCAGAAGCCAGAGTAGAAACCCTAAACCCAGTTAGGGTTTATATCTCAGCCAGCCGCCGCTTTGCTTCTCAGCCGTTGGATCTGGCTATGATCCAACGGTCCAGATGGTTCCAGCAGGAAACCCTAGGGTGATGATACCCTAGGGACACGTCCCAGCCGCCGCCGCTGCTTCCAGAAGACTCCACCGCCACACCAACGTTCCAGTTTCAGCCACGCCCCGTTGAAGACTCCAGAAGTACCTCGTCAATGCCCCATGTCGAAGCCCTATGGTGAGTCACCACCATAGTCCAGTGACTCACCAAAGGTCACCCCTTTGTGACCGGTCCGAGACGAACCTCATGGTGGCTATAAAAGCCACTGGTTCCCTGAAAAAAGAGAGAGACAGAGGGGGAACAAACCCAAGAGCACCAAAAAAAAGAGAGAAAACAACAACAACCCAGCAACCTCAAATAACAAGGAAAAGACGGAGAGAAGAAATACTTACCGAGGGAGCCTCAATCATCACCGGAAGCCAAAATAGCCAGAAAACAAGAAAATACCGAAGGTATTTTCTTAGATCTGCTCCAAACATGAGTTATTTAGGAGAAAAGAACACCGGAACCGTCATTAGGACGGTCCGATCTATACTTTGGTAGAAAAAAAAAATTTCGGCCACCGGATGCGGTGGCCGGCGGTGGGATTTACGGTGGCAGACGGCTGCCGGCTGATGACCGGCTTCCCTCTGGTGAGGGAAGTTAGAGAGAGGCGAGAGAATTCTTTTCTCTCTCAGTTAGAGAGAGAAGAGAAAGGAAAGAAATGAAGATGCGGGCCCTTCGGGCCAGCCGTTTGGGGGATATATACCCCTTCCCAAACGACGTCGTTTAGGGGAGGGGTATATCTGTAATTTCCTTTTGGCTAAACCCTTTCCGCAACCATCTTAATTTTGTAACATTCCATTTTAGTCACTAAAATCAAATTTTAAATGTTTTAATTTGATCTTCTAATTTTGTTTATCTTATAATTTAATCACTAATATGTTTATATAAATATTTTAGGAAAATTACGTATTTAGTCTGTTAATTTTAATAATTAATATTTTAATCCTGAGTACATATTTTTAATTTATTTTAATCTGATATTCGAATTTAATATAATTTTATTTTAGTCACCAAATTAATAAATGGATAAAATAACATGTTTAATCCAAGTAATTTTAAATAATTAATTACGAATTAGGTATTTAATCTTATTAGATTATAATTTAGTCACTAATTTTAATATTTTCTTTTATATAGTTCTAATTATATTTTTATTATTGTTTTACTTGTTTATATATTTAAATATTATTTTTATTAATATTATATAGTCATATAAATATATATATAATAAATAATGATTTATATTTTTTTTACAATAAATTATTTTTATCATATTTTTAATATTTATTTATTTTTCAATATCGAAGAAAAAAGACAGTCTTAAAACAACTGGATATTCATTTTCTGATATTTTTAAATAAATAAATATTTGATTTTATAAATTATGTATTAATTGTTTTAATTATTTATTTATTTTTTTAATATTAAAGAAAAAAGATGTCTTAAGGTACCTAGAAGTCATTTTCTAATATTTCTAAATAAATAAATTTTCTATTTATAAATATATTAATATTTATAATTTTAAAATAATAGGATTATAGATTAAATATATATTGAATTTTTAAATTCCTAATAATAGAGACGATTTATAATTAATAAAGTACCAATTTTGGGCGTTGTAGGGGTGTTAATCCTTCCCTAAACGTAACCGACCACGAATCTATTTTTATTATTAAAAAGAACGAATTTTTGGTTAAACACAGATCAATTTATCTTTTAACTGATGTTTTCATAAAAACTCTTTTAAAGGATAATTTTTTAGGTATTCGACATACCTGACCCAAAAGGCCGATGGCGACTCCCAAATTATTTTAAATCATTTATTCACTTCCCGCCAAGTAAAAAAAAAATTCGTGTCCGGACGAAAACCGGTTACGACAGCATCCATTTCAAGGCCAGCACCCCAACCACCTACTCCAACACCTGAACCAGCTCCAGCCCTGCCGCGATCGACCACTATTCGACCCGCATTCCAACCTACGGGTGGTGCTTCCTCCGTTACAGCAACACCTGTGCCTGTTGGTAGAGGATCGCAACCGTCTTCCCCTTCGGATAAAAAACCTACAACTGAAGTTGGTTCCACAACCGCTTCCGCGCGTAATTCTCCTGCGAAAACTCCTCCAACAGCGGCGAGGTTGCCTCTTTCTCCACCGAAACCGGCGAAGACTTCATCATTGCCATCTTCTCCAGCCAGGTCAGTGGCAACTACTGCCTCTGTTCCATCTTCTCCAGAGAAGCCAGTGGCAGCTACTGCTGCCTCGGTTCCGACTTCACCAGCCAAGAAAGACTCAACTACAACCTCGGCGACTAACTTCCCAAAACCGGCCACCTTTACGAGCACTACGAAACGTGTGGCTAGCCCTCAAGCATTGGTGCCTACAATGAAACCATCCATGCAATCGCCAAAGATCAAACCACCAACTGCTCCACCACCATCTCCTTTAACTCTCCCACCCCCCCCCCCAGATGAGAGCTCAAGCTGATCACGAACCGAAGATCCCTGCCGAGGCAGAGCAAAAGACCGTGCTCGTTCAAAAGATGATCGACAAGCCCAAGGGGCTTTTCAGTGCCCCTCAAAAGGATCTTGACGACACTCACTATCCTAGCATTCATGGACAGAAAGAACCATCCAAGCATGGCGAGACGGAGGATTCTGGTATGAGGGTCATAATAATCGCTGGTGAGAACAAAGGTGCTTTCATGGAGCTAATCAAATCATCCCACCTAAACGGTTTCCAGAACAGTCCTCGACGTCTCCAAAAGACGGTGACTGGCAGCAGTGACGAGTACCATAGCTACAGCAGCAGCGGTGAGGAAGGCGATCGCAAAACGAAGGGCAAGAGCATTGGATCAGACACCATGCCGATGAATGCATTCATGAACAGCAATGTGCAAGGCGTTAACAACTCTATCGTCTACAATTCTTCCTGCACTCACCATGACCCTGGTGTGCACCTTTCTCTCCAAAGAAAACCAACCGCAGGCGGATTCCATGTCAAGGAACGCAGCAATGGTTACAACAGTTGAAGAGAAAACAAAGCATCAACTGGATTTAGTTGCTTTAGTTTGTTTTTAATTAATTTTAGAATAAACAATACCTATGTTTTTTTAGAATAAACAATAATATGAGTGGTGGCTAAAGGGCAAATGGATTCGATTCTTCAGTACCTTTCGTGGTGCATAATTGAAGACACTTCATGTCCAGGCCTTTTAATAATGAGAAACCTTAAGAGTATATATGCTAAATTCCGAGTGTAATAGAAGTGGAGCATTCAACCCATTGGGCCTTCATTTATTATATCCTTCAAAACTTGTCAATTTGTTGTAGTTCAATAATATATGTAAAATCAATAGTTTAATAATTTATATATAAAAATTGATATAAATTTATATTTTTAATATATATATATATATATATACCAACTAGTTTAACTTTTATTTTTGTAAACTAAAAGGATTGAAGTTTAATCAATCAAAGTAAAATCATTAACTTCTTAACATTTGTGGGATTTTATAAGTACAATTGAAGTTGAATTCATTGAGTAGTCTCGATAGTAAAAGGATATGTTATTCTCTCTAAAGAATCCGAATTTGAACAGTTACGTCTGCATGAATATATACATTATCAATTGACTAAGAATAATTCTAAATAAATACATATTAAAATATTTGGAAAGATGAATTATTAGTGAAATCGACAATATGATTCATCGTCAAAGGACGATATCATGTGGATTTCAAGGTTCTACGAATCATTTGAAGAAGATAATGGGCAGGGTTCTTCCATGAGGAAAGAAGGAAATCAATAGTAGTTCGTGAACCAACCAAGTGACCAACCCACGTGCCTAACAAAATAAAATCATAAAAATATAAAACTAATCGACTAAGTCCCAATAATAATTATACATTGGATCCACGAGTACTAGAGTTTCACGTTGACTAGGATGAACTAAATCAGAAATAGTTGGCCAAAGAGCAACCAATTCGAGTGTCGACGAAAAAACAAATTAAGAAGATTGATCCTATAGTATATAGACTCTCACATCGTTTTTATTTTGTTATCCTGGCCTGATTGCTGGTTGAATTATGAGTAGCCCATTATCGAATAGTACTATTGTATAATTTTATTGTCGATAGTGCTGCCCTAGAATAATATAATACATATAGAGGGTTAAAAATGAAATAAGATTGAGGACTAAACTTACTTAAAACGTATATTAGATATTGTTTCTAAAGATACTCTACAAAAAACGTATCCTTTAAGATTTCACAAGCACTTTTGCACACAATAAATGTAGAATGAATGAAAAATTAACAATACTCAACTTTAGGGGATCAGTCGAATGAAGGCGAAAAATAAAAGAAAAATATATTTTGACAAGTTTTAAAAGATAAATGTTGCATTGTATTTATAGTAACATGCGGGGATGGATTGAGGGGTTGAGGTGAACAGGGGCAATTGCCCTTAAAATGTTCAAAGTATTATATATTTTAAATATTTTCTTTATAATTTCTATTTAAAATTTATTTTTACCCATGAAAATTTATAATTTTATCTCCCTTAAAATTTTATGGGTTCACTTTAACATAAAATCATGCGACTGTCATGCATGCCTAAAGATAAAAAAGTACATCTCAACATTGTTTTTTTTATTCAATTGATAAAAATATAAAATTTAAAAGTTGTAAGTAAGAGTTTTGACGAGTTTAACAATAAAATTAAAACTATAAAAATTATAAAAAAACAAAAACATGAAATCACTTTCTATTTTTTTTTTAAAGAAAAACATGTTTATATTTTTCTGAATTAAGCTAAGTTGTTAAATGAAGAATTATTATTTTTAAAGGTCTCATGTTCGAGTACTAGAGACTGTAAAATATTTAAGCGATTATTGTTAAATGGCTGAGAGTCTTTAGAATAGATACTATCATTTATAATTACCCTAGATTCATAAAAAATGTGTTATATTTAAATAAAAAATTGAATTAAAATATCACACATTACAACAAAAACATCCGGATCCTACAAAAAGAACCAATGCAATGAACATGTGATCCACTAGATTCGGCCTAACTGTACTGGTCCTAAAAGTGGGTCTTTGAGACTTGGAGTGCATGTGCGTTAGATATGTTAATCTGTTGACAGTGTACCAATATCTGGTCCTCGTTCATCCTTGAAGCTGCATGGCAATTGGCGACCTATAATAATAAAGCAAACGATTCTGGAGGGGCAATTGTAAAATAAAGACGATCAGAATGGAGTCTGCCATTTTATCTCTCCAACAATGAGAATTATTCACGGCCAGACAAATTCGGCCAAAATTTCTCTTTGAAATGAACTGATACAGCTGAGTATTTGAACACATGGAGTAATACTCAAGTACAGGGTACATGAAACCTTACATCTTTTGTATTTAAAAAATATTCCATTTCAATGTTTCAGATAACATTTCTATTAAGTTACTTTAGCATATATATATATATATGGAGTGAACAATCGGTAATTATTGAACTGATTCAATGAATAAGATAATGTGTCAAAACACACCATTAAGGCTGTCCTTACGATCCCAAAGGTGATGCGGGTGATTCTCTTCTGTAATGTCTTCAACGAAAACGAGGATTAACTAATTAATGATTTACTTGTTTTTAGATAATTTATTAAGATTGATAATTGATTTGTGTGGAAAAATCTATTTAAGTATCATGTGAATTAACAATCAAATGAAATAAAGTTAATCCGTACACTAAGTTAATTGGTTTCTAATTTTCACTCCAAGACCAACAATCAAAGTGAATGTTGTCTTCTTTAGAGGTCATGGATTCAAACAACTGAATCTACAAATTTTTGTAGACACTATATTTTATCCTGACTTCAAATTGAATTTCATCCATTCAATTAGTACTATTTTAATTATTGTTTTTAATCTTCATTTCAGTTGTTAGTTGTAGTCATTATTATTATTATTCCTTATTAATATTATTTATAGATTTTAATTAAATTTATTTTTATTAGGGGATAATTATATTTATAGATTAATACTTATTATTATTTTTGGTTTATTGTTCATATATATATTATATACACACACGTTTAAGGTATAATTATCAACAATCAATCAAAAAATAGTTTATATTTTTGTTCCTACCCAAACATGATTTCTATCCCACATGCTTTTCTATAGAATGAATCCTAACTATATTTATATATTTTAGTTCGCATGCTTTGAAAAATTTAAAACAGAAAAATAAATGAGTATCCTAGGGTTTAGTTCTTAAAAGGGACTTGAGTTCTCCTTCTCGGTGTCTCCTTGGACCTGCCAGACCCTCGATCCTAAACTCATCACAAGTTTATGTGGACCAAGTTAAACTCGAGATAACACATTCCCCTATGTCTGACACGAGGAATAAATTCATACTAAGACATAAGGTATATGAATCCTGAAAGTTACTTGCTAGGCTTGACACATAGAATAAATTCACATGAAGGCATTGTTTTGACCTCCACTAAAGAAGGTTTAGAACTCAAGTATAAAGCTTGAAATGAATGTCTTTTTTTAAGAAAAGCTAAAATCATTATAAAACTGTTAGTTAAACTATTTATTTGAAAAATAAAATATTCAAAGATAAATAAAAAAGATTGAAAATAAATTGAAACCTAAAATTACAACTTTCACCCTAAGAAGACAATCAGAAACCGATTTTTGGCCTGACTTTCTCGTTTCCTCAGTAGAGTTGCCAGGCTGTTGCAACGATCCTTTGGGTGGCCCTGATTTCGTGTCTCGAATTGAATCGTGTGATGGAGTTGTCACTGATCGTTTTTGAATTAGGTAGATCAGACACCTTAAACTTATCATTTTACCGGATTTGCATATTACCGGAAACTTGTTGGATTTGGGAGTTGTTTACAAACGAGGAAGGATGAACACCCTAGAATTGTCCTTTTGGTACCAACATGATTACCGGTTCTCTTAATTGCGAAATTTGAATTAAAATTTAAAAGTTTGATCCTAAGTACTTACCTTCGAAGAAATTTCGAGAATTAAAAATAAGTTCTTTAATACTTAACCTTAAATAAAATCGAAATAACGCAAAACAACTAAAATGGACAATGCATCAATTTAAATAAAATTAAAATTAAACATAAACAAATAAATATTAATTTTATTTATTTAAGGGTCAAATTGTAACAAAAAAAATACAAATTTCAAGAAATTAAAAGGTTGAAAGGATATAAGACCAAAATGAACTCCCTACAAACGAGGGGGCGATGAAAGAAATTTACCCAAAATTCCTTAAATGACGCAGGTATAAAACCCAATCTCCCCCCCCCCCCCCCCCTTTTATTTTAACTCCCTCACCCAAAAAATCTCTCAGATGCACTTTCTCCATATTCTAGAAATAGACCACCAGAGTACCATGTACACCGCGCCTACCATTGCTCTAGTCACCACCCATGGTGGCTAGAATATTAAAAACTACCCCTTTCGAAAGATCTCTTCACCCCAACACCAAATTCGGCCTCCAATCACCGAAATAGAACCCTCATTGGTGTATATCTAGCCATGCAGATTTCGATTTTTTACATTCTCAATGATGATTCTTTGTTTCTCTGGCAATAATTGGCTTCCTCCGTCGACCGCTTATCTCTGATGGTAAAGCTAAGTGTTCCCCTTGCTCTTCTTTCATTTTTAATGTTTTTTTGGGTGTTTGAACCTTCAAAAACTCATGCCTCTTTGCTTTTTTTTTTGCAGGTTTATTTTCATAACAATGGGGGAGATTTGTTTCTTTTAATACGAAACCTCGATTGGTTCCAAAATCAAAGGGATTTTTCTGATTTTCTTTAATTTGATTCCTTGCTCATTTTTTGTTGATTCAGTTTGCATGTTGAATGATTTGGTTGCCTTTTGTTGTTCATTTTTGTTGTCGTTTTGATTTGACTCGTTCTTATCTTTGGTTCGATCTTGATTATCGTTTTTCATACGATTCGATTCTGATTTGTGTCAGTTCATTTTGGAAATATTTCC